CTTCACCTGCATGCCCTTCCTCCTCCCCCTCCTCCTGTCTGCTTTGTCTCACTCCAAAGGCCTCCATGGGAGACCTTCCTGGGGGACCCTGGGCTCCTCTTGCAACCAGAAAGCCCACAGCCAAAGTTAAACCTATCGGACCACCATCCCTCCCCCTGGAATGCCCCCTTGAGGGTTTCCTTCCAGAGCCTTCTGTCAAAGTGCAAATATCCCGACTCAGAAAGTAAGGTCAGAGCCTTCTCCATCTTGAAGATTAGTTTTGCCTTAGATTAGGGTTTCCAGACCTAGGGGGGAGAAAAAGACACCCAGTTAAATTTGAATTCCATATAAACAACAAATACTTTTTCAGCTTAAGTGTGTCCCCAGTATTGCATAGAACGTATTTAACTGGGCTCCCTGTATTTTTTCTGGCTGCCCTAACTTAGAGCCTTCCCTTGAGATCAATGTGCCTTTAACTCCTTCAGGCACAGAAGCTCTGGAAGGGGTGCATTTACTGAGCACCTACTGCACATCGTCTATACAGCCAGCTTCCACTTTTCAGTTGAGGAAACAGAGATCATGTGACCTCCGGGAGCTGGGGTCCCAATGCAGACCACTGTGTGCATTACTGTGCCTTCCAGTCATCTGCCCACAATCTTGGTAGTAGACAAGTGACGGTTGCACCAAAGGTTTAAAAAATATGTACACAAGAGAGAAGTTTCATCTGAGGGAACTGTCTCTATTATTAACGCAGTATTTTCTGGGATTTAGGGGAAGACCCTGTCATCAGGTCCCCCTGGGACATTCCCCTGAAATGTCTCGGAAGCTTCCTGGGAGCATCTGTGACCGTTGTGAGGACTGTATTCCGTGGTTTACTCAACTCCGACCTGTCCATCTCATTGGTTGAGTCTCACAAAAGTCCTATAGGTGAGTAGCAACCCTTCTGCCTCCAAGTTTTCTGAGACAAAAAGGATATATACATTCCAAATAATTCCCAGGACCAGCAATAAACATTCTGGTCCAAAATGTTTTCCATCATATTTAGAGCTTGTCTGTCTCCCCTCCCATCCCTCGTGGTCTTGCTCGGGATCAGGTGTCTTATCTGATTCACATGTTCTGCTACATGAGTGAATGCTAATGACCTCACCTTGTCCCTCTCAGGTGGCCTTCTGGAGTTGTCCCCAAGGCAAAAACCTCAGGTATTTTCATCATCATCATCCAGACGTTACCACTAAACACTGTACACCAGGCTATGGCACGAGATTTCCTACATCACCTCACTCTCTTCTCAGCAACCCAACGGGGAAAGAAGAAAAAATTTGTTCCCACTGTACAGATGAAGAAACTGAGGCTCAGGAATTCCCTGGCGGTCCAGTGGTTAGGACTCGGTACTTTCACTGCCGGGGCCCAGGTTCAGTCCCTGGTCAGGGAACAAAGATCACACAAGCCACTTGGCATGGCCAAAAAAAAAAAAAAAAGAAAAAAGGAAACTGAGGTTCAAGTGATAGAGTTGCCCAAAACCATTCAGTTTATTAGTGGCAGAGGTAGGATTTGAACCCATGCTCTCCTGATTCCCAAGGCTATGATCTTGACCCTCTGTTATGTTACCAGAGAAGAAAGTATGGGGTGAGGAGGCCACTGGGATGGGCTGTCTTCACCCTCCATGGAGCCGCGACCTGCCCTGTAGTCCAGCTGAGTAAGGAAGGGGAAGACATAATAATTCCCCAGGTACATCGCCCTTTACAGTCAGCCAGCTCTTTTCACAGACAACAGGTCATTTATCCTCATAACAGCCACAGGAGGCCGGTCCTGTCATCTCTACTTGGCCAGCGAGAAAACTGAGGCTCAGAAAAGGGGTGTGACTTGCCTGAGGCCACACAGCAGAAGAAGGGCAAGGCCACACCTTGAATCGGAGTCCCTGCCTCCAGGCCCCGGGTTCTCCCCTGACACCCCTTCAAGTCCAGGCACAGGTGGGAGGGGGGCAAGTGCGGAAGCAGGTCTGCAGGCGCCAAGGGCACGCCTGCCTGTCGAGCACAATGGGGGAAATTCCGAAAGTTCCTTGGGATGGGTCGGGTCTGGCCAAGCCCAGCGTCCTCCTCGGGGACCCTCCTCCTGATGCAGCCTTTTCCTCTTCCTCCCCTGCCTCCCCCAGCAACAAGCCGAAATGGGGTCCCCTCCCTTCCTGCAAGCCCTGCTCCCCTCGGCTGCGCAGGGGTTCTTTCTGCCACGTCCATCCACCTCTGTCTCGCAGGCCTCGGGGCCTTGGCGGGGACACGCTGACTTGGAGGAGGTTAAAGGTGCCGGTGCTCGGCCTTCATCTAACAAACGGGTCGCCGTGAGGGGAGGATCATTGTTGTTCTTTCCTGGCCTCAGAAGAGGGGCCTGTCAGGAAGATGTAGAGGCCGGCAGGCCCCCCGCTGCGCCCCGCAGGGAGGCTGACAGACGCCAGCAGCTGTGCGGGCGCCGGGGTGCCAGGGCCCTGCCTTCTCAGCACAGAGGGCCCCCTGTGCCCCTCCTGACCTCTCAGCGCCCCCCCCACCCCCGCCACGACCCAGGGCCCACCCTTCCAGGGGCAAAGGGCCAGGCTCTGGGCCTCCCTGGGATGGGGTCCCTGGCCAGATGCGGAGGCCAGAACAGGAATCCGATTACAGCATGCGGGCCAGGCCCCCGGGAAGGCTTTCCTCCCTCCCAGCCCCCTGTGGATTCCTTCCAGAGCCCTCACAGCCTGCAGCCCCTCGAGGGACCTCCTGAGGCTGTTTCTGTAGAATTTCCTCAGTGCCCCCCGCAGTCCCACACTCTCCCTTTGGAATCACTGAGGTTGAGAACTAGATGTACTAGGAAGGGAGCCACATGTATCTATTACCTACTTCGCACTTCACATAAACGATTTCATTTCAAATTCTCCAGCGTCTGTGGGGTGGGCATTCTGATGCCGTGGGGTCAGGCTGCCTGTGTTTGAATGCTGGATCCTCCACTTCCCAGCTGTGTGACCTTGTGCAGGTTACATAGTCTCTCTGTGCTTCAGAATCCTCTTCTGAAAGATGGAGAAGGTGAGAAAAGCTCTTGCCTCCGAGGGCTTCTGTGGGTGTCCACTGGGGAATGTGTGTGAGGTGCTAAGATCAGGGGATGAATGGCAGCTTTAACTACCATCCCAGGTGAGGAAATGGAAGCTCAGAGAGGTGAGGTGACTTGCCCCAGGGCACACAGTTGGGAAGTGGCAAACTTCAAATTTGAACTCAGACCTGTCTAACCCCAAAGTCCACGCTCCTTCTTCCTCTGCATCAAACTGCTCCAGACTGGACAGCCAGACACCTAAGGGCAATTCCTGCTTCTGCCATTTCTTTCTCTTTTTTTTCTTTTTGCGGTACGCGGGTCTCTCACTGTTGTGGCCTCTCCCGTTGCGGAGCACAGGCTCCGGACGCGCAGGCTCAGCGGCCATGGCTCACGGGCCTAGCCGTTCCGCATCATGTGGGATCTTCCCGGACCGGGGCACGAACCCGCGTCCCCTGCATCGGCAGGCGGACTCTCAACCACTGCGCCATCAGGGAAGCCCTGCGATTTCTTAACTGTGTGATTCTGAGCAGCTCGCATCATCTTTCTGAGCCTCAGTAAAATGTGGAGCATAATTCTTACTTTACCCACAATAGGAGAGTTGTGAGGTTCAGAGGAGAGATGTGTGTGCAACAGGTAAGTCCTGGACAAAGCGGAGAGGTGAGTGTGGTTTGTGGCTATGACCCCATCTCCTCTATCAGCTGGCGACACCCTGGCCACCTGTTCTGGAAGACAGGATGCCTAGTTCATGAAGAACATGTGTGCAGCCTCCAGTCTGCAGAACTGAGACCTGTGGCCCCTTCTGGGGGAACCCTCGGCATCTTTGCAACAAGCCAGCGGGGACATTGTTTTTCTGGTCCATTCCCATTTCAATCCCAATCCTGCTGCACTGGGCCATGGAAATATTCAGTGGGAGAGGAGCTCTGGCCCCATGTGCTTAGAAAGTTTTCCTCCAAGAAATTATATTAACCCTCCAGAGAGGCCAGCAAGTTCATGGGGATTGAGCAGACTGATTGCCCAGTTGAAATGGCAATGGGTCCTCCTGTGATGGGCACCAGCCCGGAAGACCATGCAACCGTTTGCCGAAGAGAACTCCTTTGGGAATGAGAATCCCCTAATTCCTATTTCCATGCCCAGATTCCATGGAAACCTTGGCCTCTGGGGGTGGGGAAGGGGAAGCAGGTGGGTGAAGTTTAGGGGATCAGAGAGCAGGTGGGGGAGGCCTGAAGAAACTTCAAGGAACTTATCTAAGTGTCTTTCCTTTGCTGTGGAGAAAAATGACTTGAAACGCCTCTGGAGAAGAGTGTGGCTAATTGGCATGTAAGTTGGGGGTTAAAGAGCGGAAGGAAGAATCTGATTGTTTTTTTAAGTTACTGAGAAAGTGAGAATGTCACTTTGGGCCGAGAGAAATCATTTTTTTCTGGGGTGTGTCTTTCTACTACAGACCATAGTGGGCCGCTGAGACTTGCAAAAAAAGATTTCTTTTAATCCACCTTCCTTTTTGCAAGCAGCAGTAGAAGGGCCTTTAAATCAAATGCAATCAGCAAACTTGTCTCTTGCGCTCATTCCCCGCTTCACTCCCTGGAACTTGGCACTTGATGGATGCTGGATATGACTTAAGTCTTTTTCCAAATCCAAGACTTGGGGAATTTTGTTAACAGTGCAATAAAATAACTTCATAGTGTTACAGGAGAAACATTAAAGAAATTGTGTGTGTGCTGCTCTCTTTCCTTAAAAAAAAAAAAAATACAGACAATGTTTCTTTAAAAGACTCCATCTGCAAATCCCATTAGATGTGCATATAAGGTTTCTGATGATTAATAGTTGCCTGCTCGGGTTTTGGTTGGAGGGGATCGTGTGTGTGCTGGTTAACCCCTCCCTCTCCTCTCTCACATTTCACTTCAGAAATCTGTCACTCTCTCCCCTACCGAAGGATTTAAAAGTGTGTCTCAGCAGCCCTGGACCAGCTCTTTGCAGGCATTTGCTGCGGGCTCCAAGACGAGCACTCATCAGCTGGTGCGTCTGGGCTGGGACAGTGAAAATGTTTAGTGTCATCGGCGACAAATACACGTACAGGGGACCCCACTAGGCAGGTTGGTGTGTCGGAGGGGGGGACCAGGAAGCCAGGAACGAAGTCCAACATAGGTACGGGCACACGTATGTGTGGCCAGACACATGTGTGCGTAGCTGTAAGGAACAACGTTAGCTTTGGTTTTTGTTTTGGTTCCTGGGGTGAATTTTCTGTTGAACCTTTTTCCCTCCTGTTAAAAAAATTTTTTTTTTTGCATTTTTAACACTTTGAATATAAAAAGTGTAAGACTCCAGCCTTTGAAAGGACTGAGGCGTGCACCAGACAGCAGATGGATCCAGTGGCCAGCAGCTGCATGAGGGGCCCCCATCCCCCGGCCCCGGTCTGGGGCTGCCTTCGAAACCCTCACTCAGAAGGCAGTGGGGCCTCAGGCCTCCCCCACTACCCGCCAACCCCGTTCTCCTTCCACCAGAAACCAGACTTCCCAGGGACGGCAACGGCAGCGTACCCTGACTTCTCAGCCTCCTGCCTAGCAGCCACCCCACACAGCCTGCCCCGGGAGGAGCGCGGCTTCACTGAGCAGCACCCCGCCTTCCCACAACCTCCCGACTGGCACTTTCCTGTCTCAGAGGCCCGGCATAGGCTCAACCCGGGCCCAGCAGGGGGCTCCAAGGAGATGGGGGCCAGCAGCCCAGGCCTGGTGGACACCACGGGAGGCCCAGGCGAGGACTACGAGGTCCTTGGGAGCACTGCCAATGGGACGGAGAAGAAGTCAACCAGGCGGAAAAAGGAGAGTTCGGGTAAGTGCCTGAGGAACAGCTGACCGTTCCTTTGCTGTGTGACCTTGAGGAGGTTGCTTGCCCTCTCTGAGCCTAGGTATCCTGACCATGAATGCAGAACAATATGATCTAATCTACCCAAAGGCAGGAGACTTAGAACAGTTACCTTTGGGGTTGCTTCTACTCAGAGTTCTAAGATTCTCTGGTGACGGGGGCTATGTCTGTGTCCTCAGCTCTCCTGGGCCTTGGGAAGGATGTGCCGGCAAGAGAATGAAACAGGATCCGCAAAGATTTGAAGGACATGTGGGACGGAGCCTCTGGGTACAGGCTGGCAAGGGCTGGAGAGGGGCTTTCCTGAACCAGGCTGCCTCTGGGTCACGCTTCTCCCCACCATGCCCCAGCCAGCTCCAGGTCCCAGAGCCCCAGGGCTTGCTCCCCAGAGGAGTCAGCTGAGACCAAGGCTCGGAGGGCTAGGACCAAGGCTGGGACCCCCGGCAGTCAAGTAGAACCAGGACTCCGTGTCTCCAGGAGTCTAGAGGGAGAGAAGCAGACATAGCGCAGGGACGCAAGAGGCAGGCAGTAAGAATTGGGGCAGACTGCCCATGAGGTATCGCCCTCTGCAGCTGGGCTGTGCCCAGGCCAAGGGGCAGCTCAGCGTGCTAAGGTCTGGGTGACCCCCCCCAAAAGGCCACTCCTCTGAGGAGCCCTCCTGAGGGATCGCCAGTCTTGGAGAAAGTCGGGGAGGCAGGCAGCAAAGGGTAAGCTCTGGACCCCAGAGTGCAGGTAAAGCCCTGCTCGGCGCTGGAGCAGCAGAGGCCAGGTGATGGAGGTGACCTGCTTGTTCAGGTCCCAGCTAAAGTCCTTCTCCTCCTGGTTGGGAGGACCTGTTGTTTCCTCATTTCCCCGTGGGACTGCCCCGCCCCACCCCCAGCCTCTCTCACTGCCCATTCACCTTTTGTCTGGTTTCCTGTCCCCACCTTGCCCGGAACAAGACAGTGCCCTTGCCTCCTGCCCCCCCTGCCCCACTACGTCCTCCTGACGGCCACCCTTGGGGCACATCTGTCTGTCTGAACCTACAGAAGACCTTTCATGGGGCTAACAAGGGGCAGGCAGCAAATGAGAGGACCGACTAACCCACGAGAACACTCTCTGCTTTGCTTTACGAAACACTTTCAAAGTAGCAGATTTCCCGAGCATCTTTTTTTTTGCCAAGCATTGGCAGAGGTCCTGAGACTGCAGGGATGAATAAGGTGGTCTCACCCCCAAAGAGTTCAGACTGAGGGGGAGGAGAAGCCAGCAGATACCTTTCCGGCAGTGGATGTGCTGTGATCTAGGGGGTTCGAGGTGCTGCAGGAAACATACAATAAGTCTTTTGAGTCCCACAAGTTTTCGAGTTTGGTACAGCAGGTCTTGTCAGTGACTTGATTCTTTACACGTGGAAAAGGAAAGACTGAGAAGTCTGAGGGGATCTCTGCTAGCATGGAGTCAAAACAGAGTGACCCACTCATCTCGACGTACCCAGGACTTTTCTGGTTTTAGCATTGAAAGTCCAGTGTCCCCGGGACCGTTGGTCACCCTAGAAGAAAGCTCAAACCCCAGACTTCAGACCCCGAATCCCACACCCTTCAGTAGATTTCAAGCAGAATCCTCATTTTGAAATATCTGGTCTCCATGCTTGAAGAAGCCCCTCATTGTGCTCACAGTGGATGATAAAAACCACAGCCTTCCTGGCTACTAAATAGAAGGGCCCTTTAAATCCCCAGCCAGTCAAACCCTGAACTATTCCTAAGCCCGGATGGAGATTTGCAGAGAAGGGGGCGCTTTCTGCTTCTCCTCTCCAATGAGCTGTCAGCCACTTGGCTCCGCGCCTGGTTGAAGAGCTCTCCCCTCCTTGGCGCCTGCCACTGTGTCCTCCATCTCTGCCCACATCCACCTTGGCCGCATCCAGCCACTTTCCAGGGGACTGTGAGCCAAGAGCATTGGGAAGGCATGGGCAAAGCCAAGGGCTGGGCTCAGGCAAAAGCTCATTCCATGTTTCAGCAAGACCCAAATGCACCATCTTTCCTTTTGGCGAGGGACCCATGGATGGCGCTGCTCGCTTGCCGAGCAGCTGGCCACCCCAGAGCACCCTCTTCATAGGGTCAGCCTCTGGTGGGGGGAGCTTCCCACCCAGGAGGGAGCCTGGGCTCTCCCTCGGGGTCCCCTCAGAAGCAGCAGCAGGAGTAGCAGTCGCACAGGACAGGGCACAGCCAGCTGACTCTCATTCATTCTCTGGGGTCCCAGACCCTCTCTGGTAGGCATGGAAACCTTTATTGCACGGCTGCTTGCATCTTCCTTCAGAATGTAACCGAAGGGGAAGGAGGCAGGAAAGACCAGTGTTGTAAGAGCCTAAAGAAAAGGGAAAGCGATGGACAAGGCTCACGACCAACTCCAGGAGCCTGGAGTTCAGTTCACAAGAGACAAACCCACGAAGACCCCCGCCCCACCCTACCCGTCCTGAGCCACTGGTTGCATTCTCTCTTTTCAATTTTGACATTCTGTTCATTGTGGATTTTTGTATTCATTTTGATTTTTTAAAACTTTGCGTTAAAATAGTCTTTCTCTTGATTACTGAGGTTTTGGGCACCCCTTGCCTTCTGCATTCATCGTGTCTCACGCACCGCACCCTGGCTCCTGCTAAGCCGTCTCTGGAAGGTTAAGCAGCATGGCTCCGGAGTGTGTTTTCCGTTGTGCTTCACAATCAGGCAGTCAGGTTGCGGGGTCGGCACTGCCGCTTTTGGCTGCTTGACTCTGGGAAAGGTCTTAAATTCTTGGAGCCTCTGTTTACCCTTCTGTAAAATGGGACTATAACAGTATCACTCTCCATGTGGAGTCCCTGTGAAGGTTAAATTCCATGATCTGTGAGATTAACACTGTGTCTGGCACATGAGTTCGATAACTAGCAGCTCTGAATGGTCTTAGGCCCATATTTCCAGAACCAGTCTTCAGAACATAGAATCTGATAAATAGCCCTATGTTATGGGCGACAGTGGAATTGAATATTTCAAATACGCTGTCTCAGAAATTCCTGAGTCTGGGGTATAAGATGTGGGAATTTCTCGCAATCATTGTTGGTCCTGAAATCCAGTTGCCATTCATTAGGAGCCTGGAGCTCAGAGATCTGCCAGAGAGGCTGGGGTAGGGGGTGAGTCACGCCTGGTAAATGTGTCCCGTACTGGCTGGCCTGGCCAGGGGGGTCCGGTAACAGAAAGTTACTGGAAGTTTGTTTCAAAAGGAACGTTCTCTGCTCTCTCCTCTTCTTCCTCTGCCAGTCCCAGCTGCTCCCCGATCACTCCCCATTACTGGAAGTGGAGCTGATTTGCTCAGGGAAATGGTCAGGAAAGCAGGGGTCCTCGGCTCCTACCCTGAGACTTTCTGTTGGTTCACAGCACAAAACTGATTTAGGAGACAGCTGTAATATTAGCGCAGCCCAACGACCCCCGCCCTGGGGCCAGGGGGTGTTAAAGACCCCTGCTGGCAAGGACAGCTGCAAGGCCACTCTTGTTTGCCCCCAATCTGTCGTTGCTACCGTGGTCGTCTTTAATTTATGGGAATGAAGGATTTCTCGGTGATTTCCTGACGGGGTTCAAGGGAAGGTCGCGTGTGATCAGCCCAGCTACAGGTGAATCTGATCGCCCGCCTGGGAGAGTCGCGGTGCCCCGGATCAGCTCAGCGCCGCTCGCCGACACTCACTCTGCCTTCATCAGACTCGCTTTGCCCCATCCTCCTGCAGCTCCAACACGCGTGCCTCCCAGGGCTCCTCCTTCCCCGATTTCTCCCCTGCAAGATCTGATGTCCACCTCCCCGTGCCCAGCTTACGCGCACTCTCAATTTCCCCTGAGGTTGAAAAACCCTCCACAGATTGACCTCTTTCCCTGCTTATTTCCCGCTACAGGCCACCCCTCCCACCTCCATCTCCACTCACCTTGCCACGAAACCATACCAGTTTACTTGTCTTGAAAAGGCACCCCACTTTTTCTCCCCATGCCCCCGCCCCCCGCCTTTGCTCAGTTCTTCGCCTTGCCTCAGAGACCCTTCTCTTCCCGGGCTCTTCTGCCTACTTATTTTAACATCCAGCTTGAAAACCACCTACTCCAAGGACCCTCCCTTTCTTTCCTTCCTTCCTTCCTTCCTTCCTCCCTTCCTTCCATCCTTCTTTCCTTTATGACTCCACTTGTACCTAGCATCATTTCAGTGAAAGGTACAGTTTAGAAGTTCCAAACTATAGTATCGCTAGAACCTGTGCTGATTTTATAAATACAGCCTGTAACTTCATAAAGGAGCTCCCCTGAGATTTCTTACCTTTGAACATCTTGCATTTGAAATCTGCTTTTTTAAAAATTGTGGTCAAGAACACATAATGTAAGATTTACCATCATAACCATTTTTGACTGTGCAGTTCGGAAGCATTAACTAGATGCATATTGTTGTGCAACAGATCTCTAGAACTTTTTCATCTTATAAAAGGAAAACTCTATATCCGTTGAAAAACAACTCCCCTTTGCCCTCTCCCCACGGGCCCTGGCAACCAGCATTCTACCCTCCGGTTTCTAAAAATTTGATTACTGTAGATACCTCATGTAAGTGGAATCAAGCAGTATCTGTCTTTTTGTGACTGGTTTAGCTCAGCACAATGTCCTCAAGGCTCATCCATGTTGTAGCACATGATAGGATTTCTTTATTTTTTTAAGGCTGAATAATATTCTTTTGCATGTGTGTGCACATTTTCTTCATCCATTCATCTGTCATTGGACACTTGGGTTGCTTCCACCTCTTGGCTATTATGAATAATTCTGCAATGAACATGGGTGTGCAAATATCTCTTCGAGATCCTGCTTTGAATTCTTTTGGATATATACCCAGAAGTAGGACTGCTGGATCAGGTGGTAATTGCATTCTTAATTTTTTGAGGAACCTCCATACTGTTTTCCATAGCAGCTGTACTATTTTACAATCCCACCAACAGTGCACAGAGTTCCAATTTCTCCTTTCTCCACATCCTTGCCAACACTTGTTATTTTCTGGGGGTTTTTTGGTAGTAGTCATGCTAGTAGGTATGAGGTGATACTTCATTGTGGTTTTGATTTGTATTTCCCTAATGACTGGTGATGTTGAGCATCTTTTCATATACTTATTGGCCATTTGTATATCTCCTTTGGAGAAATGTCTATTCAAGTCCTCTGTCCAGGTTTAAATTGGACTGTTTGATTTTTGTTGTTGACTTGCAGGAGTTCTTTGTATATTCTGGATATTAATCCCTCATCAGACGTATGGTCCACAAATATTTTCCCCATTCCTTAGGTTGCCTTTTTATTCTGTTGATTGTTTCCTTTGTTACACAGAAATGTTTAAGTTTGACGTAGTTTTGTCTATTTTTGCTTTTGTTGACTATGCTTTTGGTGTCATATCCAAGAAATCATCACCAAATCCAATGGCATGAAGATTTCCCTCCATGTTTTCTTCTAGGAGTTTTCTAGTTTTAGGTCTTACATTTTTAGGTCTTTAATGCATTTCGAGTTAATTTTTACATATGGTGTAAGGTAAGGATCCAACTTTATTCGTTTGCCTGTGGAGATCCAGTTTTCCCAGCACCGTTTGTTGAAGGCTGTGCCTTCCCCACTGTGTAGCCTTGGCACCATTGTTGAAGATCATTTGACCATCTATGTGAGGACTTACTTCTGGGCTCTCTATTCTGTTCCATCGATCTAAGTGTCTGTTTTTGTGCCAGTACCATAATGATTTGATTACTGTATCTTTGTAATATGTTTTGAAATCAGGAAGCCTGAGGCCTCCAGCTTTGTTTTTCTTTCTCAAGATTGTTTTGGCTATTCAGGGTTCTTTGAGATCCCATGTGAATTTTTGGATGATTTTTTTTTTCTATTCTTGCAAAGAAATGCCATTGGGATTTTGATAGGGATGGCATTGAATCTGAAGATCACTTTGAGTAGTATGGACATTTTAACAATATTAAGTCTTTCAATCCATGAACACAGGATGTCTTTCCATTTATTTGTGCCTTTAATTTCTTTCAGCAATGTTTTGTAATTTTCATTGTGCGAGTCTTTTGCCTCCTTAGTTCAGTTTATCCCTACGTATCTTATCCTTTTTGATGCTGTTATAAATGGGATTGTTTTCTTAATTTCCCTTTTGGATTGTTCAGTATAGAAACACAGATGATTTGTGCATTCTGATTCTGTAACCTGCAACCTTGCTGAATTTAGTTATTCGTTCTAAGAGGCTTTTGTGGAATCTTCAGGGTTTTCCACATACAAGATTATTTCATCTATAAACAGAGATTACTTTACTTCTTCCTTTCTGATTTAGGTGCCTTTTATTTCTTTTTCTTGCCTGAGTGCTCTGGCTAGGACTTCCAGTATTACATTGAATAGAAATGGTGCGAGTGGGCCTCCTTTCCCTAGTTTCTGATATTAGAGGAAACTATTTCCCTTTTTCACCACTGAGTATGATGTTAGCTATGGGCTTTTCATATATGGCCTTTATTATATTGAGATAATTTCCTTCTACTCTTAGTTTGTTGAGTGTCCAAGAATCCTTTCATGTCCTCTCTCCCCTCACACATGGAGCATACCTTGCTGACACCTCCATCTTAGAATCAAACCACAGTTGGCCCGTATCCAGAGCTCTAGATGCATATAGCTGCCTTTTTCCTTAAAACTGAAGTGTCTAGAGGGCTGGGATGCTATCTGATTCACCTGTGCAGTCTCCCTAGCACCTACTGAAACATGTGTACACAGGAGAAGCTCATTCAATGTCTGGCCAATAGCCTCTAGTGCAGCCTGGCATTCACTCATTCATTTTCTCACTTTCTCTCTGAGAGTGGCTCCACCGCCTGGCATGAGGGTTTTCACCATGCGTGATGTGCTTCTGGAAAATGCATCAGGATTTTTACAGTCTCACTCACAAAAAAGTGTGCAGAGAGCCAGACTTCGGTCATAAAACCAGCCCAGGGTCAGGGTGAGTGCTGGGTCAGAAAGACGTATCCACGTGCAGGTTGGACTTGCAGGAATCCGCTACAGGGTGCTGGGCTTGCCTCCCAAGCACTCCCATGGCTGGAGCTGCTGTGGCTGGGCAACAAAGGGGACCCACCACGGCCAGGCAGTTAGGTGGGCTCACAGCTGGGCAACGAGAGGGCCCAGCTGCCACATGGACAAGTGACTGTGCTCTCCAGTCTAGAGGAATTGCAGAGCCGTCCCTATGGCCTTGCGTCAGCCTTGCCAAGTACCCCCCAGTGGCCTTGCTCCCTCTCTCTCCTCAGTGATAAGCACGGATATGGGGAGTTGGGGGCGTCTTAGTTTGCTTGGGCCGCCATAACAAATACCACAGACTGGGTAGCTTAAACAACAGACATTTATTTTCCCACAGTTCTGGAAGCTGGAAGTCAAAGGTCAAGATGATGGCAGGTTTGGTTTCTGCCGAGGCGTTTCCCTTTGGCTGGCAGACAGCCGCCTTTTTGTCACGTCTTCACACGGCCTTTCCTCTGTGCGTGCACATCCCTGGTGGCTCTCTGTGTGTCCTAATCTCTTCTTATGAAGACACTAGTCAGATTGGATTAGGGCTCACCCTAACTGCCTCATTTTAATTTAATCCCCTCTTGAAAGACCCTATCTCAAAATACAGTCACATTCAGAAGTACTGGGGGTTAGAATTTCAACATATTAACTGGTGGGGGGGACACAGTTCAGCCCATAAACAGAGGGTACAGGGACAAAGTTCTAGCAGCGGGACAAATGCTCCAGTCCCGGGTCCGCTGGCCACTAGTGTTTGTCCATTCAGACAGAGCGCTGCTTCTGACCACAAGCAGATCCCCGCATTCTTATCTTACTCCCATCAAGAGAGAAGAAAAAAAGTGGAGACTGTTTTACGAATGAATCTCTAAAAGAGCAGGCTGTTGGACAGAGGAAGAAGGAAAGGAGGTAATAACAAAATAAATGGACAACCTCAGCTGAGTGTCGCCTGGGTCCCAAACGTGACACCGAGTATCAGGCTGAGCGATCTCAGATCCACACTCACCCCTTTCTGAGGGGCAGGACTCGAGGCCCCTGCAGACCCCTGGAGCCAGCTTCCCCAGTGCCCACTCCACTCACGGAATCAGGGTGCCCTGGCCTCTGGCCAGGATTCCTCTCGCAGTCCCCACCCCCATTCCAGACTCTTCTATGTCATGTTTTCCTTGAACTCAGTGGTGGAGAAGCAGTGTGAGCAGTGGGCCCTGGGTCTTGAAGCCCACGCTTCCTTCAGTGACAGCTGAGCGTGACATCTGGAACTGATAAACACAAACAAAGCCCAGCGCTGCTCTCGCCTGGCCCAACCGTCTCAGAAACTTGCTGCTGTTCCAGCCTCTCGCCCCCGTACCCCCTCCACTTCTCTGCTCCCCTCTTTCATGGTCCCCACACCCCATCTCCTCACCCAGTCCATTCCACTATCCCTCATCACTGCCCACCCTCACCCACCCCCCGCCACCTGGGACTCTCAGCAAAGACGACTCTAGCCCCAGGTATTCCCCTCCCTGAATCCCCCAGCCCCACTGCTGGGCTCCTCAAAGAGGCTGGGAGACTCACCAGGTCTCTTCAGGCCCCCATGGGAGACAGAAAGGGCCTGGACATTGAGGTGGGTCGGGGCCCAGAGAGAAAGTCAAGCCAGTCCCAGGAAGCCAGGGAGGTGTGGATGCAAAGGCCCATCTGGTCTTGGGACTGGCTCCATCCAGATCTTGTCTATTTTCAGGGCTTTGACTCTTCCCTCTGAAGTTGAAAGTATCAAAACTAACGAGCACATTAAAGGTCTGGTCTGTAGCCCAGGAAACTGTAGACCCCATTTTCAGAGGATCTGCCAAGGGGAGTCCCAGGGAGGCAGACCTGGACCCAGACCCAGACGCCATCCCTGGAGCGAGCACAGCTCCATACTCATCACCCCTGCAGTGCAGTGTGACGTAGCCTGAACTGGTCCCAGGGGACTTCTGGCGCGCCATTTAGTCTCTGGGTCTTAATTTCCTCGTCGGTTCCATGGGCTAATGCGTACCTTACCTACCTCACAGGATAATTAAGAGGACCCAGTAGGAAGCAGCCTAACAGTCAGGAAATAGCTTCCTATAAAGGAAATCTGGGTTCTCAGCCCAATTCTGCTGCTAACTTGCTGTGTGTCTTTAGGCAAGTTTCTTACCTTCTCTAGGCTCACCTGTAAGATGTAAAGGCCACATCAGATCATCCCCAAGTCCCCTTCCAGGTCTACTGTTCTATGATTCTGTAGTACAGAGGAAAGCCCCAAAGAAGTTTATCTCTGGGGGAAAGAAATCCATTGTCAATTGTCAACTGCAAAGTGCTACCCGAATATGGGGCTTGTGGCTGTCTATCTGGTCCTGGATAGAAATTTATGTTAACTGGCTGTGAGAGTTGGGGAGTAGGAATACAGGACTCCAGAAAGGCACGTTCCCCAAGGTCTATCTGAACCTCCCCGTAGTTCCGATAAAGCTGTCTGCTAACTTTAAGAAGGTCTGCCAAACGTGACAGCTACTTATGAAATAATTTACCTCGGATGGTGTCAAAGCTCCTGGTGGAAACCGCAATCACACACACATCCTGTTTGCATTTCTCTGGGTGCTCCGGACCATTCCATCATGGCCCTGCTCCCTCTGAGGATGTGCAGAGGGCGGGGCGGGGCCGGGGGTCTCCTCCTTAACCACAGAGGCAGCCAGCTGAGCACCGGCCTCCTCCCTCTGCGGTCCTGGAAGAGGCGCCCGCTGGCCCTGAGGAAGAATCAGGACCAGGAGGACTGACGTGGACGGTCACGCTGATCAGTTCTAGTTACTGCGCCTGGAAGCAATAGAGACACGGATTCAAGTACAACTGTGCAAAAGTAGTGGAGAAGGGAAAGCAGTTAAAAGGCCAGACGTTGAAAAGGCATCCCTTTCACACAGCTCTGGAGACGTAGTACCTTGAGATGCACTGTGTTTTATCTCCGCCTGTGTCATCTCTCCAGCATCATCTCCAGCAGAACCTCTTCCGGTGGTTCTCCAAAAGGAGCCTCAGCTGTGTGCCCGGCACTGTGCTAAGGGTTAACACACATTACCCCGTCTCGTTTTACCTTCTCAGAAGCCTTCTGATCACAGGGGGTGAGGCTATTCTGTTTTACAAATGAGGAAACTGAAGCTCAGAGAACTTAAGGGACTTGCCCGAGGTCAGAGAGCCCTTTCTTAGAGCCAGCTAAGGCTCAGGCTCTCCAACAGGTCCTCAGAAATCTCTGCAAACACAACTCCCTTCCACGCAGCTCCAGGCTTGGGGCGCTGTGCATGTCAGAGGGAGAGAGAAATTCCCCAGCACAGCCCTGATCTTTGGGCTGAGGGCCTTGGGAAGGCTGCGGAGGGCCTTGGGACAGAACACACAACACACTGTTCCTTCCTGCTGACTGAAGGGTGTAACCTGGGGCCAAGACAAGAATCTTGGAAACTGGAAGGGACCTCGGATTCCAGGCCGGGGTTTCTCAACAGAAGAGGGAGTAGGGAGAGAAGAGAGTGCCAGGGTGGCGTATTGGAAAAGAACTCTGACAACAGCTCGCCCAGGGAAAGAAGGCCCAGCCCAATCCCATACTTCTACCCGTGGCGAAGCTGAGGCCAGAGAGGGGAGGGAGGCTCCCCAACAAAGGGATCAAACCATCTTGGGGGTAGCATGCATAGGAACTGTGCACGTGATCCAGCAGAATGGACACCCCCTGGCCAGAAACCGTATAAAAGTACTTATCATTTTTCTTTGTCTTTTCCTATCTTGATGAAAAGATATACTATTTTTATACTATTGCAGAACAAAGAGAACCATAACTTCCACTTTCGTTTTCATAGCTAACTTGCCATACTTCTGACCCCTTTGTCATTTCTTTTTTTTTTTTTTTTGCGGTACGCGGGCCTCTCACTGTTGTGGCCTCTCGCGTTGCGGAGCACAGGCTCTGGATGCGCAGGCTCAGTAGCCATGGCTCACGGGCCCAGCCGCTCCGCGGCATGTGGGATCTTCCCGGACCGGGGCACGAACCCGCGTCCCCTGCATTGGCAGACGGACTCTCAACCACTGCGCCACCAGGGAAGCCCTGTCATTTCTAACAGTGATCAAAGTTCTTACCCCTCTGGGAAGCTGATGAGGGACAAAGGTTCTTCCAGTGCCAGTTGCCACCCCCTTTAGCGGGTGTTGCCCCGAGGTTCACCCAGGGGCTCAGACACTCAGTTCCCAGCCCAGGCTCCTTTGTCCTATTTCTTCTTTCCCACCCTGAGGCCCCAGTGCCTAAATCAGGATACTAAGAGGTGAGAGAGGACAGTGGATAGGGAGGGGTTTGGCCTGGTTGACAATGGTCAGCTGCCCCCATAACCAGTCCAAGACCAGCTCCAAAGGTCTCCTCCCTTTATCTCCCTTCTTCTCTCTAGGAAGGATTATGTGCAGAACTCTGTGTGTGTGTGGGGGGGAGGTATTTGGGGGGTTTCCATAGGGGACCTGTGCACACCTCAGCAGGCCTGAGAGAAGGGGAGGGTGGGTGTGGGCATCAACCCAGGGCCCACAGGAGCCCTGGAGGCGGAGACGAGCAGAGCTGCGATGGTCCAGGTCCAGCTGCCAGCCAGCCGACGCAAGATGGAGAACCTGACGCCAGGGTTGATGGCCAAGGCTCTAGTCAGGTGGATCTGGATTCGAATCTCGGTTCTGCCGCCCAAAAGCTGCCTGGCACACTGGGCAAGTTCCCGGGCCTCTCTGAGGCTGCTTCTGCCTCTATCTACTGAGAAGGATTTAGCAAACATTTAGCAAGAACCTCCTAAGTGCCAGGTACAGTAGCAAGTGAGAAAAAGCAGTTACATCCCTGGGGAGAGAGCGCTATTAATCAAATTATCACACAAATCCACACGACAAAGCTAAAGGGATAATAATACTACCTACTCCTACGTGTGGTGTATGGGGAGGATTAAAGCAGTGATTGCATCTTAGCACGTGGAAGCCTTTAAGAAACGGTAGCTATTACCCCAGCCCCTCAGATGGCGTCTCAAGGAATTGAAGAATCGGAAGAATACTTTATATTTGTCCAGAGCTTTAGAGTTTTAAAAGCATTTTCCACACACAGCAGCTTGTCCAAGCTTCCCAAAACCTCTGGGAGGTAGATTTCTGGATGAGAAGCCCAGAGAGGTTAAGCGACTTCCCCAGAGGCTCCAGCAAGAAGATCCAGGATTCAAACGTCGGGGCAAGTCCTCTGGGTTTAACACCCCCGCTGCTGCGAAAGGTTAGAGCTGGGAAATACTGAGCTCCAGGACAGGAGCGGGTGGGAAACAATCCAGGTTTCCCAGCCTCGCTCTGGGCGCGCAGGCGAGGATGTGCTCCGGAATCGGCGTCCCTCCCCGGCGTGACCGTGACCGCCCCTCCCTCCCGGGCTCGCGCCAGCCAAGGCTGAAGACTCCTGGGGGACCCCAGCCAGGCGGCGCGTCCTTCCCCGCCAGCCCCGGCTCCGCTTCCGGAGGGGTCTGGGCAGACAGCCCGGCAGGAGAACTCGCCCCCTTCCTTCCCGCCCCCGAGCGCGCCCGGCAGGCGGCCCACCCGGATCCGGCACGGGCAGCCGAGCATCGGGGTTGCGGGGACCCCCGGTGGCGGCACCCGGGCGGCGGCCCCTCCTCCGCCTCCTCTGCTTCCCGGGGGACGTCGGGGGGGGACGGGCGGCTCCCCCTTCTATCCGGCTCCCGGAGGCGTGGCGCGGGGGCGGAGGACGCGCAGACAGAAATGCAAGGGGGACTGCGTGGAAAGCGCTAGAAAGAACCGGCGGGCTGACGTTCCCATCGGGAACGTGGGGTGGACGAGGGGGCTCCACATCCCCGTCCCGCTCGGCAATCTGGCCCCTTGGCCGGGCTCCCTGTATGTACAAGGGCAATGAAGTGAAAGACTTCTAACTTTTAAGAGCGCTGCAGTAAAACGTGCTTCCTGGAGCCCTTCCCGGGCCACGTGGCACGCGTTGGTAGTTCATTGTGTAGGTGTGTCGGTCTCCTTCCTGTGTGCTTCTCCATCCACCACCGCCCCTTCCCCTGTTCAGATCACGATACAGTCCTTTCTGGGTGCACCGTGCTTTACAGTTTGTAAAGCCTTCCTACATATATTTCATTGGAATACTGTGTGAGTCACACTGCCTGAGTTGGATTCCTGTCCCCACCACTCACTGGCCAGATGAACTGGATGAACTTGGACAACTTGCTTCACTTCTCTGTGCTTAGTTTTCTGGTCTATAAAATGCGTCTCATCCTAGAGCTCGCCAGGCTGAATTACTGTGAGGATTAAGTGGCTGGTGCCTGTAAGGTGCTTGATTCCTGTACCCGTTACCAGCTACGGTTGAGCCCCTGCCCTGTCGAACTCAGAGCCTCCTTCGTAAATGAACTTTCCAGACCTGGCCCCTCCTGGTGTCAGAGCGTTGGGGGGGAGCGGGAGAAACTTAAGGCAGCGCTTCTCAATTTACACGTGTACACATCTCCCCTGGGAATCTGGCTGAAATGCGGACTCTGATTCAGTAGGTCTGAGGATGGAGTGAGGTGGAGATCCTGCAAGTCTGACAGCTCCCTGGCCACACGACTGCTGCCACCAGGCACCCTCTGAGTAGCCAGGTCTTAGAGCAGAGGTTTGTAACCATGACCATGTGTCAGACTCATCGAAGGCTTGTTAAAACAGATCACTGGGAAAAACAAAAAAACAGATCGCTGGGCCCCACTCCCGTAGTTTCTGATTCAGCAGGTGTGCGGTGAGGGCCAAGGATCTGCATCTCTAACAAGTTCCTAGGTGATGTTTCTGTCGTTGAGGACAGAGAACCTCAGTTTTAGAGCAACCTGCCGCACCAACTTACAGCCACTGCTAATGTCAAGCTGTGGGTAGGTGGGGACAGAGGTGGGGTGGAGATCATTAAACAGTCCAGGGCAGCTTCCTGTGCTTCGGGAATTAAAAACAGTTGTGGGGGAGGTGTGCCTGAGGTTGATATCCAAAAACCTTTCCAGTTCTCTGGGGGTGAAGACGCTAGAATGAATGATAAAGGGACACCGTGGGTTCTTTCTCAGCATCCTTTCAAAATAAGAGCGACAGGGAAAGGCTGCCCCGCTGCTTGAGGACAAAAAGAAAGGGAACCAAGGCCCTTGCGGCTCACTTCTTCCTGTTTGGGGCCCTCTCTCCCCAGACAACCAGGAGAACCGAGGGAAGCCGGAGGGCAGCAGCAAGGCCCGCAAGGAGCGGACGGCCTTCACCAAGGAGCAGCTGCGGGAGCTCGAGGCCGAGTTTGCTCATCACAACTACCTGACCCGGCTCCGGAGATACGAGATAGCCGTAAACCTGGACCTCTCCGAGCGGCAGGTGCCCCTCCTATTCTGGCCATGCCTCCTTTCCTGTGCTCTGTCATATCCCTCTCTTCCCCCGCTTCTCCCAGAACCTTCTTCGTCCTCTCCCTCTGCCCCAGTCCAGTGGTCCTCAACTCTGGCTGTACCTGACAATCACCTGCAGAGATTCTAATAACACCAGTGCCTGGGCTCCACCCCCTAGAGATTGTTTTCATTGGTCTGAGGTGAAGTCCAGGCATCAGAATTCATCGAAGGTCCCCGAGGTGATTCTCACATGCAACCAGGGTTGAAACCTCTGATCTGGTTATCCCTAGACTTGAGTGTGCAGTGGAATCATCCAGGCCCTGTTTAAAATGCAGCTTCCGGAGCTCCACAGAGCGATTTTCCAGTAATAATGAGTGGGACCAGGAATCTGCATTTCAAGTAAGTTCTCCAGGTGATTTGGATTTGCAGCTGGTTCCTGGACACACTCTGAGAAAAGCTTCCTAGCCCTCTGTTTTGGGCTTTCTCTCAGAGCATTCCATCCATACCCGTGCTCTGACGTGGAATAAAATATTATTATTATTATTATTGATTGCAGCTTTCAGTTGAGAAAGCGTCTGCCAAAATGCTGGATTTAGAATCAGAGGACTTAGATTCAGATCCCGCCTCTACCCTTTCGTAGCCCTGAGACCTCTGGGACGTGTCTTCTCCTAACCTCTCTTGGTCTCCATCTGTAAGGCAGTGTCATAACCCCACCCTGCAGGTTTACCTGCAGGTAAATGCTGAAGCCCAGATGAGAAAATGTCCAGACCAGAGCTATCTAAGCCGAAAAGTGCTTTATAAATGTGCCTAAGGGTGAGGCTGGTGATCCTGTGTTCCCAGATGCTTGGGTAATAGAAGCTACAGGGAGAGGGTGTTGGCACAGGAGGGGAGGGGCTTGTGAAAGGGGGTGGGGCCAGTGTGACTTTTAGAACTGGTTCTTCTGTCAGGCTTTCTTTATTCGGAGACATAAGACAAGCCTCTGGGCCGATTGGTGGGTCTTCCCTTGGAGGCGTGGGGAGGGGCAAGCAGAATTTCGAGCTGGGGAGTCCCCAGAGCTGCACCCCAGGTAGCTTCAGCATCCATATGAGGAGACGGCCACACCTGCCGTGAAGTGACCAGGCTCCTCTGCTTCCTTCATCAGGTCAAAGTGTGGTTCCAGAACCGAAGGATGAAGTGGAAGCGCGTGAAGGGGGGTCAGCCCATCTCCCCACACGGGCAGGACCCCGAGGACGGGGACTCTGCCGCCTCTCCAAGTTCAGAGTGAAATTCTCCAGGGAGGAAAAAAAAGACTGAGGACTGAGCCCCGTACCAACTACCCCCACCCCAATCCTACCTTCACCTTCTCCCACCCACCCAGGGCAGCCTCTCCACATCGCGCAGTGACTCTTGGATAGGAAGCTGCCCAGGGTTCCCGGGAGCCTTGAAGTTTCCCAGAAAACTCTGTCCAGCATTGCTCTGTCTTAGCAGCCCCTTCCCCAGGGCCTTTGCTTCTCACATTTCTCATGGAGTCAGTCATACAGCAGCCAGAATGGACCCTAGTGAATCCCGGGAATAGCTCCAGGGACACTGTTTCTCGGAGACTCAGCTGCCGCTCATGAACACAGATGCCCCCAAAGAAAGGAAAGGAGACACACACACCCTAGACCACCCTTCCTTTCTGGGCTCTATATCTGAGGCTTTGGGGGACCTCAAAGGCCCCAAAACCCGAGGGGAAATCAATGTGAGGAAGTTGAGGTCAGAAACTTAGCTGCTACAAATCAGAAGCCATCCCTGGATCCAAATTTGCTGGTGAAATGGGCAAGTTCATGATCACTAGCTAGAAGCAGACAGTCAGCAGAACAGCCTGGTGTAGGTCTCTGTGGTCCCCACACAGGCCTTTCACGCTGGCTTGACTGGGTTAGGAGAATGGACCCAGGACAGCACCTGCTTCTTCAAAATCAATTCAGGGATACACACAGGACTGTTGAGCAGGACCCCCAGAACACCGGAACAGCTATTCCTTTTAAATCTATAATTTCTGGATTGAAAACCTATCCAGATGCTCACATTATGAGGGTGAGGGCTGGAGAGGGTCCCCTATATTCTACGAATGAAGTGATCGCTTCATGAAGCGATCATGAAGCGATTGAGGTAAAGGCTGCTGGGTGAGGACCTAGAAATGTGGAACCCTGTTAAGAAAGTTTCTCCAGCTGCAATGTCCTGTGCTTTCAAAGAACTCTGACCGCAAATAAGGACCAAAAAAAGTCCCCCTATCTCCATGGGATGCATCTGAGGCCATCCAATGTGTTCCACAAATGTTGTTATGACTGGAAGAGCTGCCACGTTTATGTGTGTGGACTGCCCAGATGCCCTGGGACTGTTGGCCAAACAACCTGGGGTGACTGACGCCTTGAGAGAGACCCCCTGCCTGCCTCAGTGCTCTGTCCCCCAACACCACCTGGTGTTGCAGAGGGAGGTCAGTAAGAGTTTGGAGCTCTTGTATGTAGATGTAATCATTCACGTGTAAAAAAAAAAAAAACCCACCTCCCCATCCCCGAAAGGACAGACGCTGTGGAAAATGATTGCCAAATGGCTGGTTAGAGCGTGTGTAATTTTTTCTAAAGCATACTTCATCTATTTTCTTTAGATTACATCAAGTTAACTGTGTAAGGTCAATTCACTTAGTAAGAAAACTCTTCGAGAAATAAAATCAATAAGAAAAAGCCAGGCTCCTCGCAGAGCTTTTTCCTGGCAGAGCTAAGAACCACAGCTCTGTGCACAGTCCTCTGATGCTCATGTGATGATTGGCCAGACAAGGTCTAGAAGCAACGAAGAAATGGAAGAAATCCTCTGGACCAAGGTATCCCTTGGCTCCTCCAAGGGTGGCGGTGCAAATGTAATTGATGTAAAAGAAAAAAGAATCTTGTCTTCCTCGCAACTGTACAGTCTGCATTTCCCATTGAAAAATTTTAGCTTTCAGTTTCTCTAACCCATGGCTTATCAAATAGACAATGTTCTGTAAACAAAAGATGAACTCTTTTGTTAATAAAGGAATCTTGACCATAAATTAACCAACCCTAATTTTTAAATTCAAAGTTTGAAGATTTTTGTTTTTCAGGGTACAACCATATACACCAACGGTAATAAAAAAATGACACAAGAAAGGATGTCCTCAATTCTGTGTCTTTTTAATGAAAAGAGATTTGTCTCACCAAGATGTCAGCAATGGACGAAAGAGGACTGGCTAGAGGGGAGGGGAGGGAGGGACCTCGGAGAAGAGACCTGGCCAGGATTTGGCATTGAGGCAGTCTGGGCCTGGTGTTGGCGGCGACCAGAAATGATATCATCAGGAGCTGGCAGAGGAAAGCAGACCCTACCAAAATCAAGGTGCCAAAGGGAAGGTTCAGGTTCAAAGCCAAGCAGAGCAGACATCCTCAGGCACTCCAACACCCCCTCCTAACTCGATTCCTGTGGCTTCGGAGGACATCAACCTCTCTTGGTTTTCTTGTGTGTCTAGAATGTTCCTTCTCTGTCTCCCAAGCAGACAATCTCCCTTTCGCAATGCTTTCGCCCCCACTGCTGGTTCCCAAGTTTTCCACTTTCTGCCCACCACCCTCTTCTCCTCTTCTTGCCCTCCCCAGACAATCCCATCTACCTACATTTTTTTTTATTGTAGTAAAATATACCCAACATAAAATTTTAACCATTGTTAGGTGTACAGTTCTGTGGCATTAAGTACTTTCACATTGTTGTGCAACCACTGCCACTTTCCGTCTCCAGAACGTTTTCATCTTCCCAAGCTGAACCGCAGTCCCCGTTAGATAATATCCCCACCTTCCCTCTTCCTTCCATCCACCTACATTTATGAAGTGTTTACTCTGTGTCGGACACTGTTCTAAGCGCTTTACGTGGACGAACTGTGTTACTTCTCTTAACAATCCTAAGAGGCAGTGCTGCTATTCCTGTCTTACAGAGAAGGTAAGCAAAACAGAGAGAAGTTGAGTAAATCCCCAAGGTTTTATAGCCCATTAGTGGTTGTCATAAGTCATACGGTTGGGCGCAACGATTTTCTTTTCTCCCCACTAGATGAATACTGCTCCCTGACCATTGTCATATGCTGTACCTCCGGTGGAAGGAGTGTATGTCCCCACCTGGCCGACTTCAGACTTGTCCATGTGACCTGCTTCGGCCAATAGAATGTGAGCAAATGCACCGAGTGCCCTGTCTATGCAGAAGTTTTAGAGTCATCTCATGGCTCTGCCATTGCTCTCTTCCTTCTGCACAAGGCTGGGCTGAGACGGGGGTTCCACCATTACCCTGGGTTCCAGAATGAGAAAGATGTGGAGCAAAGCCAAAGCTATGTCAGTGAGGATATAACAGTTCACTGTTGTAAGCCACTGGGATTTGGGGGTCATTTGTCACTGCTGCACCACTTTGTGGAAACTGACCACTCCAGTGATGACACTGGGATTTGCATCCCAGCATTCTGGTGCCAGACCAACATTCCCCTACCCCTGATGTGGGAGCTTAAAGTTTCATACTCTGCCGCCTACTGCCCTTTGCCACCTAAATGGCTACAGGCACGTCAAACTCAAAATATCTGAAGGGGAAACCTCCATTCCCCAGCTTAGGCTAGCTCCTCTGCCTGCATTCTGAATCATCTATTTTAGTTGGCGACACCACAACCTACCCGTTCACTCATGCTAGAAACCTCATTCACTCATGCTAGAAACCTCATTCACTCATACTAGAAACCTGGGACACATCCCTGATACTACCTAGCTGCTTTGCAGAACCAATCGGTTACCTGGTCCTGTTCATTTCACTTAACTCGTAGGTATCTCTCACACCCATGCATGCTTTGTCTTCCAACCACCATTGCCCTTGCTCAGGCTGTCGATATCTCACAGTTGAATTAGAACGTCTAACAGCTCTCAAAGTCCATCCGCTACAGCAATCACACACACACAAATTCAACCTTGTCACCCGATTTAAAACCTATCAGGCTTCCTATCACCTACAACATAAAGTTCGAAACCCTTTATATGCCTCCAGGTTCCCCATGCTCTGGCCCTTGCCTAACTCTACAACCTCGTTACAACACCCCCTGCCACAAAACCCAGCAATACCAAGCCACTGGCCCTTCCATATACAGATACCATGTGATTTCTTACCTACATTCCCTTGCTCATTCCCTTCTGTTTAGAAAGATCTCCCAGACCTGGACCCGCCCCCCAAAGACTTAGGCATTCTACTGGCACTTAAAGGGACAACTTGAAAGGCACACAGAGGAAGCTTTAATGGGTCAGTATGGCCCAGTTTTCAACAGGAGGCCCACGCCTGACATCAGGCAGCAACATTATCCACTTTCTAAAGTCAATAGAAGAAAATCTCTTTCAATATGAGAATTTTAATTTCTCCAACAATAGTTAATAAATCCATGGAGGAGGGTCTGATAATGAAATTAAAGGTGCACACACACATCAGTCACGCTCTCTGGTTTCCTTTGAAGACTCCCTGACTCTTCCCACTCTTCAGTGTTGGCATTTGACTGAACGGCGCTAGGTGAACAGTAGCTGGGACCAACTGCTCCTCAAGCTGGTAAAAATCTGCTTTTTCTCGGGAGCAAAGCTGTGCGAGGGAAGCAAGCCCACCCACTGGCGACTCCCTGATGGGAACCGGTGACTGTGACCAGAGACGGAGGCTCGGTAGGAATCCAAACAGCCAAGGATTCTCCGACAGTAACTCTTCAGTCATGGGTTTCTCCATCCTTCAGAGAGCACTGAGGACAAGCAAGTATGCGGCTGCCCTTTGGAGAGAGGGAGAGAGAGGCAAGTAAGACGAAGTATGCAGAGAACCCCTTTCCAAATGAAGGGGCCTGGAAGGACTCAGGGCTTCAGAAGTCTACCCCCCTGCCTGGGCCAAACCCTGTGACGGATGCATTTCTAACAGCTCTTCTATTCAAAAAGGAGAACCAGTGTCAGGCAGGAGGAATCCACTCTTTCCTGTCTGGACCCCCAAAGTGCCACAGCTCCAATAGCCAAGAAAACCCACGGTGGATGGCTTTCTCTCCTTCCATTGAGTAGAAATGTTTTCCACTGAGAGCTATATATTCTTCAGCCAAGTAGAAGGGCCTGTGCCAGGTAATCCCATACAACTACCAACATAGCAATTGCAAGTGGTGTCCTCTCTTAGCCACCATAGCATTAGGCTCTCACCACGTTCCTTCTCTCACTGGTTGTGCCTTCTCAGTCCCATTTGCTACAAACCATGAATAAACCTTCAAAAAGTATCTCATATCCATGCCCTTCTCTGATGCCACCATCAACCCTGGCCACTACTATCCTTTGATCTTTGTCTTCTCACCTTATGTGTGTTCCTTTATGGCTGTTACCACAATTTATAGTTCTTTTATTTGTTGTTTGCTTATTCATTTGTGGTCTGTGTTCCAAGCTGGAGGGAAGAAAATGAATTATGGTTCTCTGACCATTTTATTCCCAGCTACTAGCATGATGCCTGGAATATAATAAATGTTCAATAGATAGTTATTGCAGGGATGGATGGATAGATGGATGGATGGACAGATGGATAGACGGATGTATGCATGTACGGATGGATGGATAGATGGATGGATGGACAGATGGATGGATGGATGGACAGATGGTTAGATGGATGGATGATGGATGGATGGATAGATGGATGGATGGACAGATGGATGGATGGATGGGGGAATTGTTAAATTAGTGGTGTCAACTGGCTTCTCAGCTCACAATTGCCCATTGCTGGCCACACAGACCACATAGGGGAATCTCTGGCCAAGATGCTGGTTAAACTGGCTGGCTTGATGCAGTCCAGGCCTTTACTGCCCACCAAGTTTGGCAGGCCATGCCCTTGCCAAAAAAGAGGGCATTGGACACCCACCCTGTTTCTGTGGCTCAGGGAAACTGTCTCTGATTCTAGCCACAGGACCAAACCAAGATTCTCTGTCACTCCCCACCTCACAGCCCTGAGCCCTGAGGTCTAAAAGAGCCACTTCCTTTGACCTGCAGTGGACAAAAAATTAGTGTCCAGGGTCGACCACTGACAACAGCAAGACTCAGAGGTATACCTGAT